TTAACAGCTTTTTGGGTTAAGCCTACTTCAGATGGGTGATAGCATCCACAGAGTATTTTTCTGTATGCCTGGGAGCAAACTCCTGCTCTTTTTCAACAACTGGTTCAGTTTCGCTAGCTGTGCTCTGAATGGTATTATGACAATGAAGAGATAAGTAGACACTCATTCACATCTTACGACCGTACTTGTTATCAGAATTGGGCTGTAATGTAATCGGGCATGTACATATACAACACATTTCATTACCTCTTCACCCAATGGCTGAGGATCCTCTTGTGGGGTTGTAGTTGAAGGTGCAGAGGGCTTGGATGGCGCAGAAGACAGCGCACGTTTCCAAACTGAAGACAATAACCGCTGACTACTTGTTAAGACGCGAAGCATTCCTTGAACAGATGCTGTAGTACAATTTATCATTAACGAAAGGGTATGGCCCCATTAGTAAAAATGGACTGAACCATCAAAATTAAGACACTCTTAATATATCGTTAATTTATTGTGAACTCGAAACCGAGAAACAAAATTACTACAGAAATAAAGAGAAAAAAACAGTGAAAATTTCATACAGTATTCTTAGTTCTATCATAAATGTTGGATATCAGCTGAACAACAGAGTGGAAACAGTACATGATGTGTCAAATAAAGGTATAACCTGACCCCAGAATCAATAATTCTTTTCATTTACAAGATTCAAAAAAATAGTATAGGTAAAGCAATATTCACACTGTACAATGATAACAATGTTCTGCATTTAGTCAAAGAGTATTCTCAACATTTTTCTTTGCCGCACCAATTTCAAAGCAGATAAGCAACGAAAATCAAGAGAGACGCGAAAGAGAGAGCACAGCTTGATACACTGCCGACGAGACCTTTGCAAGCTTAATTGGAAACATTCAAGAAAAAAACGCTTGAGTTGCTTCAATCCCTGAAGTTACTCTTACAATCGATGAGGATCCATCTCTCGTGCCCATCGACTAGCTCTCTGAACAAAAAGTGCATTCATAGATGGGGGACTGACTG